TGGTAAAACACCTATCCTGAGGGGGACAGGTGCCGTGGACCACTCACTGGAATAGATGGTTGCAGACAGACCAGTGTACCATGACTGAAGCAGTCTGCAGAACTCTGGAGGGGCGTGGTAGTGAGCCAGGGAGAACTGGATAAGGGAGTGATGAACACTCCCATATGCGTTGGCAATGTCAAGCCACGCTATTGCCAAAGAACGTTTCTTCTGCCTAGCTGTCTTGATGACTGCTGCCAGCTTAGCCTGATGCTCTGTGACTCCAGGGATGGTGGGAAGGAATGCCTTCTGCAGGTCAGAGTTGGGGTAATTGTTTGCACGCATGTGCCTCAACCATCTCTGCTTCAGGATGCCCGAGAGCAACTCGCTGATGCACAGAGTGAGGGCAATCGGGCGGAAAGTTTCTGGTGATGATGGATCTTCCCTCGCAGAGCTCTTCGGAATTAGCTTGGCAGCAGCCACTTTCCAGGCAGACTGGACAGCACCCTCCATGATGACACTATTGAAGAGATCGAGAAGGGCTGGATGAATGGAGGGACATCTCTTCAGGATGGTGTATGATATCCGATCAAGGGGGGAGGGGGCAGACGAGGATTTGGACTTCCTGATCACTCGAGTGAGCTCCTCAGGAGAGACTGGCGACATGTCCATGGAGCAGTCTGAGACGGGGGAAGGGGGAGAGGACATCCATGATGGCGTTTCAAACTGATGAGGGCTGGACATGTAGACCTCCGAGAAGAAGGAATGAGCAGCCCTTGCAGAAAAATTCGGAGTGGACTGAGAGGTGGTGTCCCCATCCAGAAGGCACTTGGCGTACCTCCAGAAATTATGGTGACACTCCTCTCTGACAATGCTCGCTTCCTTGTCCTGGAGTCTACGAGATGACTTCCGCTTCAGCTTACTGTGTTCACGGAGGAGGGAGAGGAAATTGCCAGAGAGGGACTGGATGGTGGACACACTCTCTCCCTGCCTCCTTACTCTTCGAAGGGCCTGTCGAGCCTCGTTCTTGAGGCGAGTCACTCTCCTCAGGGTCCTGTCGTGCTGCCTCGGCCTCTTCTTAGGGCGAGGAGGGTTCCTAGTTCCATATCGGCCTGCCATGATGTCATATATGCCATTAGTTAGGATGTTGTTCTTCTCTTCTATGGTGGTAGCTTGCAGGACAGATGGAGTAATAACAGATAGAAGTAAGTTTGCTTCATCCCACTCCTCAGGTGACTTGGGCAGCCTGAGGGACTGCTTGGAGTGCGGGAGTGTAGATGGGACTTGGTTTGCGGTTCGGTAAGCTGTAGAAACAGCTGATGTCTCATGCGAAGAATTCAAATTTCCGGGTTGCGTCGTACTGCAATTTGAATGAGACGTCGCGGAATTTGAATTTGCGGTAGGGAAGATGGTATTCATGGAGCTGGAGGGCGGGGCACTCTGCTGATCTTGGACATCGCGGCAGGTAGCGCTGACCCATAGGTGCGTGTCGAGGCACTTGAAACTCCGGCCGCATTTTTGAGACCTTCCTCGAGTAGTTGCCATGTTCCGTTGAGTAGCGTTGCTTGACGGGTTGTTTCGTGTAGTGCAAAGCAGTAGTCCAGTATACCACAAGACTCCTCGCTGCAAATCCTCGCGAATGGCGATAAAGATGTTTAGATTCACTTGGATATGAGTCGAGTATAGAGGACTAACAGTCAGAGCTCTTTCCAACCGACTGTCTGCGCCGCGTAATTTTCTCTCTCTCTCTCTCTCTCTCTCTCTCTCTCTCACCCATTCCTCAGTGCCTCTCCTTCTTCCCCTAATCAGTTTTGTTTGGTTGAAATAAATGCCTGTACAAGTACCGTGATATTACCAGAAGAAGCTGCACAACAAACTGATTTTGCTGCAACCTATCAACAGACCAAAGCGAAAAAGTAGTGGAACTCAAACGCAAACACCCGTACTTCACACGGGTCCAAGGCCAGCTTACTATCACATAGAGAAAGTGGTGTGGCTTTGTGATTTATACCATAAAGGGGCTCTCTGTAGAGCGCATTGAATACGACTCTGAATTTTCGAATAATAAATTACTTTCGAAGTTAATAACATTTTATGATTGTTTGCTTTTGCCCCTCTATTGTCTCACCCATGCATTTAAAGTACATGATCTTAGACTACTCTCATAATCATGTCATTTTTGCATACATACTCTATTTCGTCATCACTAGGCTCCGTGTCTGCATCATCGTCTGATTCTGTGTCAAAATACACAATCAAGTACTCTTCCACTTCATCAACTTTTTCAATCGGCTTAGAGGAATAAGGATGACTTGAAAGTAACAGCCATGCACATGCACAAGCGATTTGGTTCGCAATCCTTGACAATGTTATGTGCTGTGTCCTCCAGGCTCCTGCCTTCGGGCCATCGGAGTCCATGGTCGTTTCGCCGAGTAGCTGTCTCATTCGCCGCAGAAATTGAGATTGCTTGCAATCGCCGATTCTATGCGTGGACGAGCTGCGTGTCGTAGGGGTTCTCCAGTACATCAGTATAGTGTCGCGTACCTCGGCGGCGAACTCGGGGGAGAGGGTGGCTACAACATGGTCGTACTGCGCTGTGCTGCAGCGGGTGGAGCAATTGTGGCACTCAAGGTTTTAGCTGGTTACTGATATTGTTGAACTGAATAACAACAACAATTAAATTGCGAAATGCCTTGGCGGACGTGTGTGTGCTTCCCTAGAGAAGGTTCCATGTCAAAGCAAATTTGAGGAAAGACTGCCTATATACACAGTCTTCTGTGTGAAAAGGCTGCAGGCGAGGTAAGCATGCTACCAAGTGGGCATTTTTTCGCTGTGCATCAAATGCATGTTTATAGGCTTACAGGATTAGAATATCTGCGCATGCGCGAACAGATTATGCCGCACGAAACGCAGGTGCGGAGTACACGCATGTGTTTGACTTCTAATGGGGTGGCTATGTTGACCTACACGTGGTCTCTACCAGGTCGCTGAGAGTCAGTAACGGCTAGCTACCCCACTACTAGATGACATGCATCTCGAGGTAAGCCCGTGCTGATTTTGCAATATTGCTCGTCACTTGGTTTCGCACCGTAACTCCCGAACAACACAGCAGTTTCAGATGTAACCCCACATGATTTTATACGTCTATCCGATGCTCAAATATGTGGTATCGTTTGTGATAGTGATTGATTGCTCAGGAAGAAGGTATCCTGCGGAGAGACAAACAGACATACGCGACCAAGTATAACAGTAACCTCTTGTAACTCCTGAACCACTGAGAAACCCCACATGTTGTTTTACCGTTTATCCGGACGCTCAATCATGTGGTATCGGTTGTGGATCGATATGTGAAGGCGGAGATAGCTCGGGGACAGCAGACACACATGACAACTACAATAATCCTCGCTGCGCATGCGCCGAGGTTAATGAATTTAGAAATCTTACGTTTGTGTTTTGACCATATAAATCAGACTGATATGTCCGAAGTGAATCTTGATTGAAAGTGAACGTAAAAATGTATGGCATATTCAGGATGACCTGTGTCACCCTCTAGTTCCAAGTACCACCTACTTAGTGACCTCTGTAAGCTCCCTATCAAGAATGCTGTTGTTGTACGAACATGTGGTTCATAATTAACCCTCGGCGCGCATGCGCAGCAAGGTTACTGTAGTACGTTGTGTGTCTGTCTGTGTGTCTGTCGACGTACTATCTCGCACTATAGCTGACGATGCGCTTATGAGCGATACAACAGCTTGTAGACGTACATGGGCGCTAGAAAAATAAAAATGCGATTGTGCTGAAGCGACTTCGCGTTCGAGAGCGACCAAACTGGCACGTGCGCGGACAGCGTTGCGTGGCCCACACCCAATCAATAAGCGTGCGCATATGCGTGTATAGACGCTATTATGCGCTCACTTCCACCTGATCCGCTTGCTCTGTGTACTTTGGAGGCACAAGAAGCCACAGCGAAGGGTGTGTATCGACTCCCGCATGCTATCTACTACTGTAGCTAGCCAGTGTCAGACTCTCCGCAAGCTACTAGCGGGAGACCGCGAGTAAATGCCAATCGCCCCAGCCCATCCATTAGCGGTACCGCGCATACGCAGTTCGCCGAGGGTTTGCACTTTAGTGCTTTTCATTGTAATATGCAAGCATACTCCATGTGTGGTACCATTAGCAAGTTTGAGGAGTTAATTAAAAATATGAAGAAAATTGCCTGAGGCTATTGTTGTTGTGTAGGTAACAAGTAGTTGTCATGTAAATCATGTCATACGCATGCGTACCAACTTTTATATCGATGTGTTGTACCGTTGGCAAGTTATAGGAGTCAAGATGTAACTATTGCCTGAGGCTCTTTGTTGTTGTATTGTTGTGTTTTATAGTGGTCATTATGTGTATACAAACTTTCATTGGCGCAGCTCTTAGCATTTTATTGTGCTTTTTGTTGTTGTTTACAGTAAGCAATTAGTTGCACATGTTGTTATCGATATGTACATTTGTACAAAATTTCATGGCTTTATCTGTTTTAGTTTTTTTAATTACGTTGGTTTAAGAAGAAGAAAAACAAGATGAGGAACAAACCTATCATAGTCCCATACATCAATAATGCTAGTAGGTGCCAATCCCTATGTACTAAGTAATACCATACTTAGCAATAATTGGAGCCACAGTTTGTCAGTAGCATGATCTTTTGATATTTTTAAGCCGTAGGTCCTGACTACTGTAATGTTGAATGTTTCATACTTCACCTAGGCAGGGATATGCAGATATTCAAAAAGTGCATAAATATAGCTTTCATTTGATACGTAGTTTGGTATTCATACTTCAAACATGGAAATGCGCTGTGAATTGTCGCCTATTTCCAGGTGATAAGGGTGAAGCACCACGTTAGTGTTTAAAGTTCCTTGCATTTTCCGAAGTGGAGGATGTAACAGAGACTGTCATTGGCAGCAATGTACAGTGTTAACACTTGTCAAGTTAGTTACAGTTCTTGTGTGTGTATGCTTCTGTTTTTTTTGTAGACACTTGCTCTCCTCACCCAAGAGCTGGACTTGGTGAAATCTCTCAGTTCCACATTGTCATCTTTTAAGAGTGATGCATCTGGGATGGAACACTCTAAAAGAGAAAATAATATGTCAGTGGACCCAAATGTGTGGCCACCATCAACTCCTACAGAGAGTAGTAAAAGGTAAAATATACGCGCAAAAATAACCACAAAGGGCGTGTATCGACTCTTGCATTCTATCTTCTAGTGTAGCTAGCCCCTGTCAGACTCTCCGCAAGCTGTACGTACTAGCATGGAGACCAGGAGTAAACGCATACTCATAACCCAGCCCATCCATAAGCGCTACTGCAGATGCGCAATGCGCCTAGGTTTGTGCTTTCCATTAACCGTCGGCGCGAATACGCAGCAGGAGTTACAGTACTTGGTTTGTGTGTGTGTGTGTGTGTTACCACGTTTTCTGCCAGCCCAATAAACTATGCCAATAGGTTCGGTGCTACACTGGCTAGATTTTAAAAGTGGCCGATTTTCATAAACTGCGTTTGAAAGTTATGGCATGAAACGCAAGTGAACATGCCAATATGGAAATTAGCACAGGCTTACCTCGACAAGATGTGCTTACTCTGTGTAACTTGGAGGCTCAAGAAATCTCAACGAAGGGTGTGTATCAACTCCCGCATGCTTTCTACGGTTGTAGCTAGCCCGTGTCAGACTCTCTGCAAGCTACTAGCGGAAGACCACGAGTAAACCCATATTACGGCCGAGTCCATCTATTATCGCTATAACTCTTGCGCAGTTCGCTGAGGGTTTGCATTTCAGTGCTTTTCAAACCCTCGGCACGCATGCGCAGCGAGGGTTACTGTAGCCATTCTGTCGGTCTGTCTGTCTGTCTGTCCGCACGAGTTCTCGCACTACAGGCTACGAGGCGGCCAATGAATGGCACCAACGGGTTGTGAACAACGAGAAGATGGATATTAATATGGCGATTTTCCTGAAACGACTGTGTTCCAGAGATATGGCTTTAAAACAAGCGAAAAAGCCAACGTGCGATCGATCGCGCACGCTCCCTCTCCGGCAGGCTATATAGTGCGCACGCGTCATGTCAAATATTCGCCGGCGCATGCGCTACGCCACGTTGATTGTATATTATACGATCCACGGGCTTCTGTCAGTTTTGATTTCGTTTTCAATGGATAAACATGCTGAGCAAGGTATGTTCGCAATGTAGCATAATAGTTCAGTTGGCGAGCAGTTTGTGGCTGCGGCCTTGTCTTCTCATCTATGAAACGTCTGGCGAGAGCATTGAAACACAGAAGAGCGAATAAAGCAAATATGAGAGCCTCTGAAAAACCTGAGCCATTTCTCTAACCGCTAATGCAACTAGCTACCCTGTGTTACGGCGAGACTCGTGTTACTGGCTCAGTCGATGACGCACTGCCCAGCATACAGAGATGCTACAACTCGCGTGTTTAGCGCCGATGGTTTGCACTTTAGTGCTTTTCATTTTATAAGTGGTTGTGTCGCACAAATTTCAGCCAGTCTTGGGTCCCGCTGTGTGTGAAATGGAAGCAACCTCGCTAAAGAGGGTGTGAGCATTGGCATTCGATGTGTCAAAATAGGTTTTCTCAGCTGGCTGATAATGAGTGTTAGGGTGCAACCTTTGTGCCTCAAGTTTGTGAAAATGTTAGTTGAAAGGTAAGTAGGTAAGTGCTGAGAACAAGAAGGACAGCAAACCAAGTGTCGCTACATGGAATTTCTCAAGGCTTTGTAGTGAAAGTAAGCAAAGAGAGGTAGGGCGCTTTTGTGCACGCTCTATATTGATGGACAGGAATTGTGGGATAGGGAAGGAAAGAATTCCTGTTGGTTACCAAATGGTTTTACCTCCAGATCTCATTATACGAGTGGCCTGCCCTCTCTAGGTTGGACATGGTATACTTTATAACGTTATCGGCTAATTCCAGGGGCGTCCCCCAAACTCTGGGATGTCGACATTTTGGTAGGTAGATAGGCCACGGCATCACTGCAGGAACTTAACAGCACGTCCGGACAACACTGATGCACACACACTCAAACTTCGTACTAACCTGGCCCTCCTCCTAATTCTCTTATCTGCAAGGTGTGTGCACTTTGGCTATGCTCAATGCTGCTTTTGTAGGCACCAGGCAAGCATTGCGTTACGATAGCTACTTGCAAGTGAGTCTTAGCATAGATTAATGTTCTTAGAGAATTAGAAATGCAACTTTCTCCCTTAAACCAATATTACATTATGTATGTATGAGCCATTTGCTATATAGGTCATCTCCTGCAAACATTGCCTCCGAACTTGAATATTGATTTTACAAAAGTACGAGGTGCACAGACTGAATTGTCTTAGCAATCTGTTAACATTGTACGTAGGTAAAATATTTATTTGTATATAAATATACATTTTCTTTTTTACGTCAGCAGGGACTCCCCGACAGGCAAACTCCCTAAAATAAAGAAAGTCAACCTTCCAAGTCTGTCTAAGCAATGTTAGTGCTATAAGATACTATCACTAAGTACAGTAGCATTGCTGAGTAATGGACCTAAATGTCTAAAAACACAAGTTCCAGTGTCTATGTACAGCCTCAGAAAATATTACTTCTCTCGAACTCTTAAGGGTAACACACATGGAGAATATACGTATGTATTCGTATTACACGACAACACTACCAATGGAAAGCACTAAACTGCAGACCCTTGGCACAAAAATAAACATGAAGGTATTAGACCATGTGATGCCAAGAGAAAAAAGATGCGGAGCTCTGGACAGCTGTTTCAGGCGTTGGCACCACAACTTCACTCTCCGGCATCACGAGTTTATAAAGGCTACCAGGAGCACAGCACTTGTGGTTCTGAACTAATGAGATTCATCCCTTGCCACTGGTATGTGCTGCTGACCATGCCAAGACATTCATGGTTTGGAGCCTAGGCCCCTCCCTACATGCACATGTTGATGCAAACCTGTTGAAACAATATGCATATACATAATGCACTGATGGGTCGGGCCACGCCATGCGGTTTTGACGGAGCCTTTTTTCGCTCGAACGCAGGCCGGCCAGTATGACCAGAGCAACGCCAGAATGAATACACACCTTCAGGGTAACTCATCCTGCAGCAGCAGTGCTCGAATTAACCTCTGGTAAACGGACAATTTCTGGTCAATTATTGCGCGTGTATGGTCAAAGTTCAGGTTGAGCGGCAAGGATGTCCGGGACGAAGGCATCCTTGTGCTGTCACTACCGACGAGACACCCTTCACCTGTGTTCCTCCCACGAAATGTGTGAAGTTAACAAACGTACAGCGGACAAGTTGTTAGCCGAGTATGATAAAGAGCTAAACACATCCGTTTGGCATAGGTATGAGCTAGTGTGGCCGTGCTGAAGTGCGCGGTATGCGCACGGTTCAGAACAAGGCTAGATCAATGCGCAACTATTGTTCAGCATTTATCGATGGTACAACTGACGTTTGCACCTCAACGTTGAAGGAGTACGCTAAAACATACATACACATTTGAGCAAATGTCTCTGTTCAAGAAGCAGCAATCTAGAATACGCACTAATTGCTAGTGCGCTTACTAATCTGTGACGAGCGGTCAAAGCAGAGAACAGAACGCAAGTTTGAGGTTTCGTACATGATATTAAAAAGAGAAGTTTGCATTTAACCTCTCTGTAACTTGGATGAGAAAAACGGTGTTGACTTGGGTCCAGGCTATGGGAACGATCACGCCTGCCGCCACCTTGATTGATTACATCCCCCGTGATTTCCAGCAGCAACTAGTAGCTGCACTAAATCAGCGTCAATTTTTCAGCCGCCAAGCGAATAGTAGCACTGACACAGGAAATACAGAGAATGAGCTTTTCTTGTACTTTACTTTAATCCCCATTCCACAGGTGGCAAAGTCCATGTGAGGATAGATATCTTACTGTTAGGGAGCTTGGTAGTGGCACTGCTTCTGGTCTGTTGGAATGCCATGAGAGGGCCCTCCAGTATTTGGGCATTGCTGATTGGGAGCAAAAGATGATTGGTCTGGGGTGTGGTGGGTGCAGTGCCAATATGGGGGAGAGGGGACTCTGAGGTTTACTTCAGCAGAGGCTTCCGTGGGTCGTAGTTTTCTTGTGCTTAGCTCACAGGCTTCAGCTCTCCCTGAAGGATTCACTGAAAAATACCTTTTTCAGTGTAGTTGATGAGCTCCTCCTCCAGGTTTATTATGCGTGTTGAAAAGAGCTCCAAGAAGTAGTAGACGAGCTCAGAGCATAGTTAGAGCCTAGTGAACTCTCTCTACAAGGGGGTAACCGCCCTCTACATGCTTGTGGCACAAGGTTTGTTGATGAAGTAGCTGCTGTAGGAAGTGTCATTGACCGATTTGGTGCCTACCTTGCTCACCTGTAGTCTCGGGGAGTTCCTGGCCGTATGGTGCCACCTATGCCAAGTGTAGCATGGCTTTCGCTGGCAGCAAGCAGTTCAACAGGGGGTGCTCAAGTCAGTATGAAAGCTCTGATCATAGGTTACAGTGGATTACCTTTATAGACGACAAGGGAGACAGAGTGACGGGGCTGGTGGTGAACTGTGCAGGACAACAATCAGTGTGACAACAGTATTTGCACAGTATATGGTTGTTGGTGCTGTAAGGCTCAGGTAACGTGGCACACACACTGCACACATGCATTCAAAACTTGTAAGGGCAGGAGAGACAGAGATACTTTCCCATGCTGTTGCAATCCCTGGCAAGACATGGACCGCTGCCTTTGCTCACTCAGCCTTGAATGCTGTCTGTCAGCATTTTTTCAATACATGCAAGTGGAACTGTGCTGTGGGTGTTTGGGGAAGTCTTAGGGGTTTTCCCCACCCAACTACGTTTCCATGTCTGCGAACTGGTCATGTGGCGGTACACTTGCAGTTTGACTGAGCAGCTCAGCGACTGGACCTAGCAAGCTTGGAATTGACCTAATAATCAGACGTGCGGTAACTACTGACAGCAACCCCCCACGTTAAATGTCGACAATGGGTTCTGGGTTCGTGGGTGATGAACTATCATTTACGAGTTCAACAAGAGCTCAACCAGTAAACATGATCAAAACCACTTGTAAACGGCAACAATAGCCTCAGCAGTAATAACTTGTAAAATGGTTTTAGTGCCTATACTGTGGTTAGCTGTGCCCTCTACAATTTGTTTTACTGATGTATTATGATAATGCATGTTCAAAAGTTACACAACAAACAACCTTGGGCGACTGTTAAATTGCTATAACTTGCTTTCGCTGTGGTCCAGGTATTTGACATAAACCAATCTATTTTACTATGGTATGCAGAACATTGTAACTGAAGAATTTGACGTTGTGTGGCTTAGTGTAAAGTTTAATTGCAGCTCTTAACACAGCAGCATAATGGAGCTAAACAACTGGTGGTTAATACCTTACCAAAACTTCATACAATTATCTACAGTTGAACCCCATTGTTAGTCTCTTCTACCTACCAAAACACTGTTTCTACCAAATAAGGTTACACCAATGTCTAAGCAAGAAAAGTATAGCAGGTCTGCTATTCCTGGCTCTGGTAAAAAGCCTAAGACTGAAACAAGCAAGGTATGTTACTCTGTCGCAATTTCCATGTTGTCAATTTAAGAGTTTACGTATGTAAGACTATAGGTGACAACTCAGGCATTAAGCCCTTCCACGTAGGATCGCTAATTAAGGGGGTACCTACCTGACCATGGGTGAACCCTCAGCGTGCATGCGCAGCGAGGTTCCATTATTTTCCGTGTGTGTCTGTTAGGTGACATCTCACTTCACGCAGCATCAAAACGCTCTACAAGCACATACCACGTATTCAGTGATGTAAGATTTCCCTGAAACTGCTTGCCGTTCATAGTTACGGTATGAAACACATTGAAAAGCCAATAACGCAAATCACACACCACATTCCGCGAGTATGTTTCCAGTTGGGCGTACTAACTGAGGAAAGCCAATGACTCCAGCGATCCTACTATACGGCCAAGCTGACTGCCTGGACATCCACCCACACAACAACACTGTTGATGTGTTGGGCCACGCAACGCTGTCCGCGACCGTGCCAGTTTGTCGCTCTCGAACAGCAGTCGTTTCGGCAAATCGCCATCTAGCCAGTACCGCAAAGCTGTTGGTATCGCTCATAGCCGCCTCGTAGCCTGTAGTGCGAGAATAGTCGTAGACAGACACCCACACACACAAAGAACAACTAACCGTAACACTCGCTACGCATGCGCGCCGAGGGTTGCGTGTCTGTGTGTCTGTCTGTCTGTATACGACTATTCTCGCACTACAGGCTACGAGGCGCTTATGAGCGAGTACCTACAGCTTTAGCGGTACATGGCTAGAAAAATATTATAATGGCGATTTTGCTGAAACGACTGCGTTCGAGAGCGACAAACTGGCACGGTCGGCGGACAGCGTTGCGTGGCCCAACACATCAATAAGCGTGGTGCATGCGTGTATTAGACGCGTCGACGCAGTATGCGGCTACACCTCGACCTGATCCGCTTGTTCTGTGTACCATTGGAGGCACAAGAAGCCACAGCGAATGGTGTGTAATCGACTCCCGCATGACTATCTACTACTGTAGGCGAGCCAGTGTCAGACTCTCCGCACGCTACTAGCGGAAGCCCGCGAGTAAGTAAAAAACGCCAATAGTCCCAGCCGCATCCATTAGCGGTACCCGCGCGCATACGACGGAACGTACTGAATCTGCCTGAGGTTTGCACTTTAGTCTAACCTCGGCTGCGCATGCGCAGGCGAGGGTTGGTTTGTCTGTCGTGTACTGTGTGTGTGTGTGGTGTCAGCGATTATCATGGCACATACAGGCTACGCGGCAGCTATAATAGCGATACCAGCAGCCTCGAACTACGCGCGCCTTAAATAAAAGGGGATTTTCCTGAAACGACTGTGCGCCGTTGGAAACAAGCTAACGCCACTGAATAGTCACTGGGCTTACCTACGACCTGATCCGCGCTCGGCTCTGTGGACCTGGGCCGGTCACAGGACGAGGACGAGTCATGTATTCAACTCCCTCAGCCCGCATGCTATCTGCTACTTAAGCTTGCCCGTGTCAGGCTCTACTCAGCGCGACAACCGCAGTACAAATAGACCAGCCCATCAAAGTAGCAGTATCGTGCATGCGCAGTTCTTTGCCGAGGTTTGCACTTAAGTGCATACTAAGTACTCCCACAATGGTGACACAATTGTTATATTGTAGATGGGTGCATAAATATTTGTCTCTTTCTCCTCAAAGCGTAACACACTGCAACAAAGTGAAGGATTTAAGATTACGGCTGAGTGTGAAAAGCTGTTAACATCTGCCTTTGATCCAGCAGGATATGACAGGAATAGTATGAGGCCATTGAGAGAGAGATTATTTGCAAGGAAAAATCCGAACGTACGTGGTAGTAATAGTTCAAAGAACCCCACCACATGCACATGTTTTACATCATTACCACAAGCACTAGCACCAAACAATGTGGTTCTTTGTGAGTAGGAACTTTCCCTACTGATTACATCACGAACACCCTCTATACATGAAATCAATAGGTATCATGACATTGCTTAGGAGAACCACAGTTTTGCAGAGCCCAAAATATATTCATTATGTGTAATGACTATAGAAAAATAGAATATGTGTTAATGAGAGTCAGTGTACACTGGATGTGTGGATGCTTAACAGCACACCACCCCTTGTTCTCGCGAGACTGAGAGTCATCCTATGTCTGTTTTGTATGCATGAGCACATGTCACATCTTAAAGTGCTCTGTGGTAGACTGTAGTATACATGGGCTTCAGTGGCACTTGCACTACAAGACTATCTCTCTTTTCTTCTCCTCTCACAGCTTTACGCCTAACCTAGTAAGACATTTCAAGCAAGATAGTCATTTTGCATGTGACGATAGCGATCACCTGGTGGCAATGGCATACGCGGTGTTCTTATGGCATGCTGTTTATGCTCTCTACGTGAAAATGGTATGCAATGTCAGTACCCTCGTGTACAGCTTTGTTGCTCACAAAATTACATGGCTGTTCCTGTTGGCTGTTTTCGGCTTCTGTCATTCAGTGCGGCACTCTACGTAGCTTGTGTTCCGTGATATGAACTGATCGTGACATGTAGCTCAGCTATCAGCTAGGTTTTAATAACGGCGGATATGGGAGCCGGCAGAGAATTCATGTGAGGTATATGAACCACAAACTGTATCAATGTTGTGGCTGTGCACACAGCGTGACTCAAGGTGATTTTTCCAACCCGTAGAGACATAAGGTGTACAACTTTTTTTAAAAGGTGGTAGGATGGAGAGTCCTCAAAGGTTGGTATGCCTAACAAGAATCCAGAGTCTATAGAATAAGCAGACATTATAGGTGAGAGCTCGTGAGCACTTCAGTGACACAGTCCTCTATGCACTTCTATTACAATAAGGATTAAATTTTCAGAACAACAGAAAAGCACATTAGTTGTGCTATGATTGTGAATACTAAACACTTACCTGCAGGGATGACATTGCAGGACTCAATGAAGCAAAAAGCTGCTGAAGAAGCTGTGTTCTGCCCTTGTGGATGCCAGACTATTTTAAGGGCATCAGAAGACTTGAAGGTAAAACTTTAATGCATGTTTGTTTATAGTCATCTCCAACACCCTACCACCTATTGTTTATCTTTGTCTTGTAATCAGCTCTCCAATAGAATCTATAATGCACCATGTTGATTTATACAGTCTGGGACCGTAATATTATACAGATTTTGAGCATCCGATATTGTTGGCAGGAAGTGGTGCTACATTTGCTCCATCTGTTATGCACTGAAGGAGGAAGTAGAGTCACGGGAGACTATAAGGGGAAATAGATTTTGGTGTATGAGGCAGCAGTGATACAGAAACTGATGTATAGGGAAAGGATGTAAGGTCATCGTGATAAGATCAAGTTGTGAATAGCACGTGGTGTACAAAATTACACTTTGTTATAGCATGTACGTTGCGGTAGAATTCTTCTTAGGCTTGCTTTACTGCTGTACTAGGTAGATTCATGAATGCTATGTTCCCTGCCCCTCAATTGAAATAGGTGCACGAAACCCATTCTGCATAAGTATGGTATTTCACTCACGTTCCATGTTGTCATGGAACATGATCTAGATTGCTCTTTATGCCCACAATATGTAGAACATAGTCTAGGGATGAACTCTGGTTTGTGTACAAAGTTATTTGCAAGCGGAAGTGAGCCAACCCTTGTGATCAACTGGCAACATATTATATATGTAACCCGAGGGACAGAGCCCCAGAAGGTAGCGTTACGCCTATGTGACAGCTGAAGAATGAGAGACTTGCCCTCTTTCAAAGCCGAGCCCAAACACATACGGCGTGGCAAAAGGAAATCTCTTTGGGTGTGACAGGTGCGCTTGACCACACGCTAAGCTCAAAACCACGCATAGCAAATTGCACGCAACCTTGCAACCCAGGGAGGCACACCCCACCAGCTCAGAACTACTATGCAAGAGCACCAGAGAGTGAGGCCCGAATCCATCAACTGTGAGTGGACAACAGCACCTTTCTTTGGCCTTCACACTCATGATGCATACATGTGCATGACCACGCCCAAAGGCATTCCGAACTCCTAACCGTAACAATTGCATGACTGAAGCGTGACTAATTGCCTATGCATGACCAATCATAGACTTGGGTGTCTTAATTACTCGTTCTGCTCCTACCTACTGAGTGAGAGTATACTGTGCCATAGCACAGTGGTTTGAAGTTTACCTTTGTGTTGTATTGTGTAGAAGATTTGAACCCCTACCAGCTGGGTAGCTCAGTTGATATAGCATGCTGCAGAGTCTAATGGGTTAGAATCCCACTATTCCTTTTTCCTTGGAAAAAAGCACTGTCCTGGGTGCACTTGACTGTTTTGTGCCTTTGCCTCTCTACCTCGTACTTGACATGTTGAATTATAGTTGCTTGGTGCTAGAAAAGTACTATTTGCCCATTAACCAAGCGTGAATACCACTGATATGAGCAAAAGCTTTCAAAACCCTATCTTCTTGCTTACTTGTGGCTTAATTAATGCAATAGATATCGATTTGTCTATAACTACTCAAACCCTAAATTGTTACCTCTTTTTTTCAGGGTGTATTGATGTTGGACCTCCAGGCACTGGGAAAACCCTTTTAGCAAAGGCCGTTGCCACCGAATGTGGCACCACATTTTTAATGTGTCTTCCTCTACACTTACCTCAAAATATCGCGGTGAATCAGAAAAATTGGTTAGGATTCTCTTTGAAAATGGTGAGGGTTTTTTGTGCCATTTTATGGTTGTCTTCTTTTGTTTAAAGTCGTGAGAGAGCAGGGTGAGTGTACCATCCAGCGAGTGGCCTGATGGTACACTCATTCAGCTCAGATTAGTTTAGAAATACTAACCACTGATGCAGCTTTATAGCAAGATACTTGTTTTTTTGTAAACTGTATGGCGTAGCCTGGCCCATCAATTACAGTACTTTGTCTGTGTATGTCTGTTTGCCTGTCAGTTTTCTGTGGCTATTCTGGCACAAGGTGGCCTATGAGCAATGCCAACAGCTTCAGCCAGAAAGGTGAATGGCACCATTCCTGAATGACTTCATTAGAGAGATATTGCATGAAAACAAATGAAAAAAGCCTATAATATACTTAAGACCAGGCTTAGCCCTTTCAGCGCACCATGACGGTGTGAAGTTACTCAGGGATCTGTATCCACTCCACTGTTTCTCTAAATGCTACCCACTGTTGAAGCTAATGCAAGAAATTTTCTGAGTTGACGGATTAGACCACATGGTGTTGCCCAGCCTATCATTTTTTGCAGCAAATTATTCCACACTTGCAGGCACTTTCCTTTGTGTGAGGGTTTGCACTTTAATTGTTCACATCAACAATGGTCACAATAATAGTTGCGTCTATCTTTAATGTTCAGGCTCGACATTACTCTCCAAGTACGATATTCATTGATGAGATTGATTGTTTAGGCAGTAGAAGAGGAAGTGAGAGTGAACACGAATCCAGCCGTCGAGTGAAATCTGAGTTACTGATTCAGATGGATGGTAATTGTTATATCTCTCATCAGTCAATGTTTTCATGGATATTAGTTAATCAGTCAACTCTCTATAATATAGTTCTTTGCTTTACCTGAGTGCCTTTTTAACAATTATTCAGGTGTGGAGCAGAGAGAGTGAGAGCTCATCAAAACTAGTTATAGTACTTGCTGCTACAAACCATCCTTGGGATATCGATAAGCACTTCGAAGACGGCTGGAGAGAGGATATATATTCCTTACCTGATGGTAAGTGCTCATTATTATTACTTAAGTATTGTAGGTAGGCCGTGGTATGTTTAAGGAGAAAAGCATTGAGTGGGTTTATTGCCCTTTTACTGTGCTGTTGAAAAAACATGTAAGTAGGTGCGAAAACTACTCTAAGCATTATTGATTGACGACGTAAACTTACTATAACATGGAAAAATCATTTCTATGTCCCCCTTCATTTTGAAGAATGATTTTTGACTTGTTTTCCATGAACAGCTATGACATTGCATTTTCTTATTATTGTCACTCCTGATTTGCATGGGTGATGTGTAGGCATGGAATAATTTTGAAGCAGTAGCAGATTGCTGCTGATTCTGAAGCAGGGGGCAGTGCAGACAGAGACCAATTGTTTAGTATACAAGGACGTAGTTGGGTTATGGCATCATTGCACTGCGTGGTGGTTCATGGGCAGGCTTTAGTAATCAGATTATGATGTTTGCTAGAGGCTGGGGAACAAACAATGAGACTAGACGTAACTGTACATGCAACAGCTCACTACACACAGACTCTCAAAGTTGCTCTCCGTGCAAACAAGTTAGCTTGTTGGAAATGTGTAGACCGATTGCACATCAGAGAGTTCAGCTCCATATCACACGTGATAGATCCTTATCACCGGAAATCAGCGGTATTTTGATTCAACTTAAGCGCTGCGCATGCCCTGTATCTCGGATCTTTTCGCTGCTTGCATACTTAGTCACCCGACTAACAGCCTCCCAGCAGGCCATGCAATGCTTGGTGGAGGCACTGTCTGACCTTTCACAAATTCCCTGCAGGCAACAGGCATAATTCTCTCGGATCAGCCCAAGGGTATGGGAATAAGGGGAATTTCCCCTCGGGCTGCGCCCACATTTACCCGCTGATGCAATAAGGTCCTACACAGTACCCTGGCACTAGGTAGTTATACCAGAGCTACGTATTCTACCCACCACACCTCCAATCAGAGAGGCCACCTCTCTTTGACGCCACACATTCAGAATCTCAATCCTCAAGGGGGGACTAGATGACTCCTTCAGTCTTCACCCGGAGAGGGGTGAAGACCTTGACCTTCCCTATGGGGAGGAGGTCAAAGAAAAGCTGGTCGAATTTCTAAATGCGTTGCGTATAGTAAGCAAGCGTACTATGCGTCGTGTATAGTAAGAAGTTTACACAGTCAATTAGCAGTTTTATAGGAGAGGAGGGATGGTAATAGCATCACTTTCTACATGACTGTTGCTTAGCTTCTGGTGCATACAGCTTTAACCATTATCTACCAGGACAACTTGTTTAGGATGTCCGGCCAAATTTAACAATGGTCTGACACTGTCAGAATAAACCCAAAACCTTATCGCTTGCACTGTGCTCTGTGGTGGACGTCCTTGCACATATGTTTCAGGAAGGTTGAAAATACAGATCTCTCAATTACTATAGGTCGGCCCTCTCATCAGTCATAGATCCATAGAGGGTTTCCTTATAGGCAAGCACCCGCCAGTGTGCAGAGTATTGATGCCTTTCCTAGTTGCATGCTTAAAGCACTACCTCTCAGTCACGTTGACATTCAGATCCCAGTCAGACGATAGGGCTTTGGAACCAGCTGAATAAGTCCCTTAAGCATGTCGTCTCGATAGCCAGATGGCTTAAATCAGTACTCCTCTTGGCAGAAGTAGATACTTCTGTAGGTTTATTCAACATCATCAATGACAGTCAGAGTACTGGTTACACCTGCACACCGCAATATTATAGTGCTCTCGTCAAATGTTCTAGAATCTCCTACATGCTATGCCACGTGTGTCAGTTCAATGGTCACTCCATCACTCTCCCCCCCAAGTGAGTTAGGGAACGATGGTTGCGAGCCGATCAGGAAAGTGCACATGTCGTCCAGAGCGTGTCACATGTGGTGGTGGAGTTGGGATTTGCGCAGCAGACGATGGTGGGAGTAAGGTAGGGGTCTGTGGGATCGGTGTCATAGACTCCAGGTAGGCCGGTTTTCTGGTGTCGGTCCCAGTTTGCACATGACGTCTCTGAGGTTTTTGTACAAATGCCACTGCATCAGTTGCCGTAGACGTAGTGTTGGCTTGGAAGAAGTCTCCAGCGAGGTGTAGGGTCGTGCCATAGGCTAACTCCGCTGGACTGCACTGTAGGTCACACTTGATGGTTGTACTAACACTAAGTAGGACTAGCGGTAGGGACTCCACCCAGTGGTTTGCCGGTTGACTGGACTTCAAGGACGCTTTAAGCTGCCGGTGAAATCTCCCCACCATCCTGTTCGAGATTGGGTGATAAGCCCGTTGTCCGAAGATGCTTACATCCCAACAGTTGAGTCAACTGTGTCCAGAGTTGCGAGTGAAACTGCCGACCGCGGTCCGTATTGACCGAGGATGGAACTGGTACAAACCAGGCGACCCAACCAATCACCAAAGTGAGAGCTACTGATCCTGATAAGAAAAAGGCAGCTGTTAAAGCCCGCAAATGTTGCAGACCCTGATAAGAAAAAGGCAGCTGTTATGGCCTCATATGTTGCAGATCCTGATAAGAAAAAGGGAGCTGTTAAGGCCTCAAATGTTGCGGATCCTGATAAGAAAAGGGGAGCTGTTAAGGCCTCATATGTTGAGGTCGGGTTCCATCTAGGGAGGGGGTGATGTAACGCTGTAGCTGACTGATTGCTGACTCATCATTATCATTATTGTGCGTACCGTTTCTGCCGTGATGTCAGCCATGGTGAATGCTTCGCGCCAACGCGTGAACCAGGTCAACAGATAGGAGAATCCGTGGGAGGGAGGTAGCGGCCCGACGATGTCGACGTGGAGTTGGTCGAACCTTGCATCCGGGGTACTGAAGGTTGACAGTGGAGTATCTGTGGCCAGGTGTAGCGAGATGCAATCAGTTGCCGAGTTTCCCGAAGGCCAGGGTGAGCAAGAGAGTGGAGAGAGTTGAACACTGTGCGACGAAAGCCGGCTGGCACAAACGGGTGAGGTGTGCCTGTGCTCATGTCACAAACAAGTATTGAAGACGAGAGGTGTGGCACTGACGCAAATTTCAGAGATGACGATGAAGACTACTGCCTGGGTAGAGCCTCCTGGTCGCCGATTTGTGCTGCTGCCATTGCCTCAAAGTCGACGACTTTAGGTGGTGGCACCTGGAAACTGCTGACTGTTGCCCGGGAGAGGGCGTCACCCACTGGATTAGCTCCACCGCCCACGTGTCGAATGTCAGTTGTAAATTGATCGAGGTGGCGAGCTTGACGGGGGGAGAATCTGTCTGAGTGGGTGGACAGGGCGAACGTCAGGGGTTTATGATCAGTAAGGACAAAGAACTCCCGGCCTTGGATGAAATAATGAAAATGGCTGATGGCGAGATATATTGCCAGCAACTCTCGATTGAACGTACTATACTTTGTCTCAGCAGGCCGTAGCTTCTTTGAAAAGTAGGCGAACAGCTGCCATCCCTCTGGAGGACTGCTCCCACTGCCGAGTCGGAGGCGTCTGCCATGATGTACGTGCAGGCGTGTGATTTGGGGTGCACCAACAGAGTAGCAACAGCGAGGGCGTCTGATGGTTGTGAAGGCTGTCGCTGCTGACTCGTCCCAAATGAACTGACGTGTACTATCTCCAGAGGTCTTTAGAAGCCTGTTGACTGGTTCGAGAAGTGAGGCGCAGTGGGGGATGAACCGATCATAAAAGTTGACGAGTCCCAGGTTGGGGAAAGTCGCGGATAGCGCGAATCCTATCCTCCAGTGGCCGAGTGCTGTGTGCACTAACTCAGTGCCCCAGGAAGTCCAGTTCGTTAGCCCCGAAGATGCATTTGGCTGGGTTGATGACCAAATCGTGATCATCTAGGCGTTGGAGGACTTGACAAAGGTATATGGCCAGGAGCGCTTCATAAGGATTACCTGAATTCCTTGGAAGTAGACCCGGGTTGGGTGATACCCCATTCAACACTATGCCTCCCACGGCAAGAGTGGTTGTGGAATCTGCCAGTCGATGGCAGGCGAGGTCGACGACGAGGTTGTAGTGTCGGACGAAATCAGCGCCTATAATCCGTATTCGCGATTACAAACACCCAGCGAAATTTCCGGCGGGGTCAGAGAGTGAGGGTCAGCGAGCGGGTGCCGTACGTTCGGATGGAGGTGCTATTAACTGCTTGCAACATAAGTGTGGAATTCGTGAATTTGCGGTCTAGAGGTGAGGGTGGAATTACGCTGACCTGAGCGCCGGGTGTCAACCACAAAGCGGAGACGAGTGGATCTGTCGGTGATTGGAGTAGGTGACATGGGTGTAGGCCAGTGAAGGGAGACAAGATAGGGATGAAGCATGGTTAAATGGTTAAAAATGAGTGGAGACAAGCAAACACCCCCAACCCCATCACACAATCCCTATATTGTTGCCTGGTGTGCTACTCTTATAGGGGCTAAAGGTTACTAAAAGCAAGCATTCTTTCACCTTGTCCCTGTTGTTTTTAGTAACATTTATACTGCCACATTCCCTTTAATTAACTCCACTTGGACACTATAAGGGTGTTGGTTACTCAGTAGTTTATTGTAAGTTCTGAGTATTGTAATGGTGAATGTTCACCTAGGCAACAATATAGGGATTGTGTGATGGGGTTGGGGGTGTCAGCGTACTCAAATCTGTTCATTAACCATGCTTCATGTATCCCATCCCTATCTTGTCTCCCTTTCTTTTTATACCATCCATATATGCCTCTTTTTTTAAATTCGCAGGATTATTAATTTGCTTGTCTCCACTCATTTTTATATACTACGACGTATTATCTCTGTGGAAGGGGGCAAGCCCCTATAAAACTTAATAATGGAGGAAAAAATGCGTGTTGTCGTCATGGAAATGATATGCATACCACATTTCATCTCCATGTGTGCTGCCGTTAGCAAGTTTGAGGAGTGAAGAACTAATTTTAAAGAAAAGTGCCTGAGATTATTGGTTGTTGTGGTCGTCAACAAAACGATGTAATACACATGCGTACCAAGTTTCACCTCCATGTGTGCTACAGTTAGCAAGTTTGAGGGTAATTTTAAAGAAAAGTGCCTGTGGCTATTTGTTGTTGTGGTCGTCATGGAAACGATGCAATGCATGCGCACCAAGTTTCACCTCCATGTGTGCTACAATTAGCAAGTTTGAGGAGTGAAGAAGTGCTTTTAAAGAAAATAGCCTGAGGCTTTTTCAAACTAAATGCGGTCGATGGAAACTATATAATAGGCATACTTACCAAGTTACATCTCTATGTGTGCTACCATTGGAGAGTTTGAGGAGCGAAGAAGTAAATTTAAGGAAAAGTGCCTGAGGCTATTTGTTGTTGTTTAAGTATTGTTGTAATTTTTATGTTGGTGATTGATAATTGGTAATTGCCTGGGGCTATTTGTTTTTGTTTACAGTAAGCAATGTTGTTTACAAAGAAATGAAAGGCACTGAAGTGCAAACCCTCGGCAGTGATACACGCACAATTATGTAAAGTAATGGGTGGGGCAATGGTATCACCAGGTCTGGTAGAATTGTTGTACTTACTGGTGCTGTATTTAGGTTCATAGATTATTCTTTCCTCCCAAGCCTAACCTAGTGAGCTACAACAAAGGCCTTAGTTGGAGGCATACTTACTGAACTCAACCGTCTTCTCAGTCTAGTCTCACAGAGAAATGAGGGGGAAAATGGCTGCTGGCCACGTGGTCCCAATCAACGTGCACCGCTTTGGCCGCCTGCTGCCTCGGAGTCGCGTGCGTTTTGGTGTATACGCACATGCGCGTTGTTAAAATGGCCGCCCTTGTCGTACCGTACGAACAGGAAACGCTCTAGCTTTGCAACGAAGCAGTTTCAGAGAAAATCCCACATATTTTCCCACCTCCGTCGGCCGCTGGGTATGTAAACCCGTTTTTGGAAGCGATCTATGACTGGAGAAGGTGAGTTCTCACTTAACTGACAAAAGCACTAAAGTGCGAACCCTCGGCGCATTGTGACGCGCCCGCGTGAGTAAACGCATGCGCTGTATCACTAATCGATGGGCTGGGTTTAGTTTTAGCTGTTACTCGTGGTCTCTTGCCAGCTTGCGCAGAGTCTGACGCGGGCTAACTACACTACTAGATAGCATGCGAGAGGCAATACACACCCTGCGTTGCATCTTCTGGTGCCTCCGAGGTATATACGCAGAGCACGCGGATCGATCAGACCGCGGTAAGCCTTCCCGTCCGTTGCGTATTTGCATATTGGCTTTTTTGCGCTCTAGCTCTGCAACGGAGCATTTTCAGAGAAAACCACATATTTCTGACCTTCGTAGCCCGTTGGGTAGATGGTATCGTTTCTGGGACGAACAGACATTCGAGAGGTGAGATGTAGAGTAACAGACAGACACACGGACGGACAGACCCAACTAATGTAACCCTCGCTGCGCATGCACGCCGAGGGTTAATAAGTATGACCAATCTCTTCGGGTGATGGATATCTACATTGTTACAAAAGTTCATTACTATAATTATGTTATTTCGTTTTTGAGTCACTCGAGTTCAATCTGAAGAAGGAGAAGAAGAAGAAAACAAAACTCCCTATGATAGCCCCATACATCTATGATGTTAGGTACCATGCCAATCCTTTACTACCGTACTTAATGATACAGCAGAAGGCAAAGGCAACCTAAACTCTCACTTAGTAATTTTTTGACACACGTATGATTTTGTAACAGTACACTAAAGAGTACAAGGTTTGCGACGCTGCTATATGCATCTGACCGCCAAAAAAGTCGTTTTGCTGCATAAATGCTAATTACACATATACATTGCAAGATAACCGTAATAATTTTTTCAGTTGAGGGCGTTTGGCACTCCTAAGATCATCTTAAGGATGTACACGCAGTCAGGCATGCTTGTGATTGGATGAAATTGCTGAAAAGGACTGAGGGATATAGTGGTGCTGATCTAACAAATGTATTGCAGGATAAAAGATGTATGAAATATAATTTCTCTCCACGTTTTAGACTGCTTCTACATGTCTGTGTTTAGCATTGCTCACGGGTGTTCTGACCACTGTAATTCACAATGCATGACTCGTTTTCTTCATGTCAAACAAAATTTAAGACTCTTCGTGTAATTGCCTGTGTAATATATGAGTACTGCACCCATACATTTTGCATTATGCACTCTGCCCATTGCACAACGTAGCTCTTATAAACACTGTGTGTAAGCGTTTGTGTAAAGGGTTGCCACACCAGACGTAGGTGTTATAATGCACTTCATAGAGTCTTTGTGCACATACAGAATACACGTTGTGCCTTGCAAGCACAGTAATCTACATGTAAATATTTTCCATTCTGTAATGTAAAGTCAAACATGCAACACTACAACAAGCCTCGCAAATTACCATGCCATCAAACAAACCTTGAGTCTCATAGCATCATAATATAGAATTGAGAGTTCTGTCGTAGCACGCTATTCAACAAGATTCGTTGTTTCATCCCAAGGACCTTCATCAGCCTTCATAAACGTGCACGAAAAACCCTTATCCTAGTTTACCCTGTGGTCTTCATCAATGTTGGTTTCTTCCATATGTCTCTGCTTCGAGTTTCCCTTATTTCACCAAGATGTACCTCCAATCAAGGAAAAGGACTTCATTTACCACACGTTTATTTAGTTTTACGGTCTTCATTCTTTCCAGCTTTTCCTGTAGTGTGTAGTGTGACAGTTTTGATATTTTGATGTGACTGTATCTGTTCCGACAGTACAGGACTGACAGGATCTTTTGCCTCTTTGAGCTCACTACCTAGAAGGTATTAGTTTGTTGTGGTCGATCCCTGAGGGCTCTTGTGATGAACTGATTATAATAACCTTTTTTCGGAAGACCTTCCTGCTATGCGTTTTCTCTTCCTGTTTGGTCCCTGCACCACAGACTCTGCCCATCCATTACTTTATTCATCCTGCCTGACTCGTGGTGATGAGGTAAAGTTGATGTTCATGTGACTTTCTGTAGACCTCTGTTATGATCCCCCTTAAAGAGATGTTTGGTTGCTTGTAAAACTACCCTCTTTTCCCTGACACAATCTCTCTATAAAGATTATTGAATTTTGAATTTTGAAACGACTATGCTTGCAAACATGGGCTGTTACTTCATTTAAGTTTCACGAAATATGCACAATCAGCAGTTACATATTACTATAATGATTAATATAGTACAGGGTTCCTACTGTTCCCTTGTTCCTACTGTTCCCTCTGTTCCCTCTGTTCCCTCTGTCCCTCTGTTCCCCCTGTTCCCTCTGTTCCTGCTGTTCCCTCTGTTCCTACTGTTCCCTCTGTTCCTGCTGTTCCCTCTGTTCCTACTGTTCCCTTGTTCCTACTGTTCCCTCTGTTCCTTGTGTTCCTACTGTTCCCAACGTACTTCCGTCACGCTCCCTTTTACGCATAGGGTAGGTTTTTTGCCGATCGCCATGTCCATATTGCATGTTACTCCTGATGTTATAACCACCAATGCCACAGCTTTTGTGGTGCATTCATCAGTTGCTGCTGGACATTATGATGCTGCCCTTCCATGCCACAAATACACTCCAGAGACTTCTGAGAAAGCTCTTAAATGCAGCTGTGGCATCAATGATAAATCAGGGAGGCCGTCATGTGTAACAAGCTCAATATATGCAACAAGATGCAAGTGTTTCTTGATGTCACGTAAGTGTTCAGACTTATGCCGCTGTGTCAATTGCCATAATACCTACGGATCACGGCCTCGCGAGACTAAAGTGTGTAGTAGAAAAAGAAGAAGGCATACTCTTCAACAAAGCTTACAGACTAGTGAGGAATTTGTTAAAGATAGAGGTGAGAAAGTTGGTGAAGGTGCGTGGTCAGCATTGGAGAGTATTGTTCTTAATGAGATATGCAAGGATGAAAATGAAGATGTTGCAATTTTGAAGCTATACAATGACATGGTTTATTATTCTACTACACCTTACTCCATTGCCCCACTTCCATATAAATGCATACTAAGGAACAAAAACATGGTTCAAATTCAGGCAAAAAAACACCACATTATTGGTACGAAATAACACCTTACCGAGAATTTCCAAAACAAGAAAGCGAAAGTGACAATCGTAGTGTAGGGTAGTAGTTTAGTAAATACAATCACTTTTGTTTAGTTTATAATGCCTCACTATATCATTCATTTACTTCATATAGTGTGTCAGAGTATGAAGATACTAGTAATATGCAGAATGCGCAGGTATGCCGTGCGCGCATATTGGAACAATAATCGGTAACACAATATACAATTCTGTGAATATTTTGCAGCTTCTGCACCTCTCACACTGGCCGTGGTTTG